GTTGCAAGTGGAATGCTACAGGTAACCGCGACCGTAGTGAATATCAGCGGGGATTCGAGCGGTCCATTTGCAAATGACGATCTGGATATAGCAGATGGAATATCTGCTAAGAGCATGAACGGATGACGATCAGAAGCAAATTTTTGAAGAACTGGAAAATGTGTGAGACGGAGCCCGTCGATCGCGAGGAAGGTTAGTGGGTTTTAAAATACCTATGGAACTGGAGCGAAAATTTACCAACCAATAAATTATCGGGCTACGAACGAAATTTAGTTACAAAACTTTCGTTTCATATTGTACTTTATTTTGAAGTATATCGAAAAGGGGAATGTGATGTAGAGGTCATACCATGATTCTCTAACCTGTTTATATACATTAGAATAAGTTTACATAACTTCGTATGATTGTCAAGGTCAACGTTGCAGTTAGCTTACTAAAATCATACAGCCAGTGGCTGGCGTTACGGTTGAGAAATGAAGTCGATTCTCTTACGTTTTTGTTCTGAGTATTTTATGAATTAGTGCTTACGCATACCACAAGCATGAAAAGTATATGACTACTGAGTTTTTAATTATGGAAATTGTATGACTACCATTTACAACACACCAAAAAAAGATTTTTTTAAAAATTCAATTTCTCAAAATTTTGGGATGTGTTGGTGACCGATTATATTTGACAAATCATGGTTAACTCAAAACTAGAGCCACCGAAAGCTTAATCTTCTTGCATTTACAAGGCATTGGAAATGACTTGAATTGTAGAAAAGTTATCTTACGCAAATCATATACTAAAAGTATCAAACTTTTAAAATTTGGCAAAATAACCAAGATTGTTATTTTTAAAGTTCGAGCTTTCAAGTTATCAGATATTGATCAAGGCATACCAAAATGTACCAAACAAAAAATGGGAGTTTTTAGCGTTTTATAAAAAAAAATTGTGTAGAGAAACAGATATCCAGTAAAAGGTTTTGAGTAAAGTTCAAAATTATTTGGAAAAAGTTTTGTTGTCGCCTTCAAAAAAATGCTAGTCATAGAATTTCCACATATGGAAATTGTCTGATTTTCCATTTTATTCGAAATTTTTTTTAAATTTTTACTTATTACGATACACTTTTTTTATGCCACAACGTGAAAAAAGTTCTTTGAAAACTCGATGATACCATTTTAGCAAAATGTATGAAATTTGTATGAGTACTATTTTTTCATAGACTCAGTTTATGGAATTGTATGATTGGCATTTTGGTCTACCCGGGTGTTTCCTGATATGTAAATGATGCCAGAAGTTGTAAAAAAGTAGCTTGTCTAAATTGTCAACCATTTTATACTCCAGTTGCATCCCCATTAAATGCAGACAATGATGTGCTATGAAAACTTTTATAAGGTTTCTTGAAAAGAAAAAATTGAGGAAGCTTTACTTTATGTGCTCACAGTTTCATTTTTCTTTATTTTATGTAATTCTTAAGTTAATTATTTATTTAGCTTGAGCGCACAAAAACTGAAGAACGCAAGAAAACTTCATTTTTTATTGATCTATGATTCAAGATCGCATCAAAAAAACCTATGTCTCATTGCAGACAATGTGCTGAGAAAACCATTCATAAGGATCCTTGAACAGGAAAAATAAAGGAAACCTTATATTATTTGTTGACAGATTCATTTTTCTATATTTTATCTCAATCATATTTTAATGATTTATTTAATTTGACCGTACGAAATTCAAAAAATGCAGGAAACTATAATTTATTTATCTTTGATTTGAGATCGGAACAAAAATTACCGGTCTCTAAGTTATTCAATGAGAATTTCTTTAAAATGATTTCTGCGCTGAGAGACCAAAATTAACCTAATGCAGAGTTGTTTCTTTTAACCGAAGAACAGATTAAAAACACAAATGAGACAAATTTCGAAACTCCAATGCCTTGCCTTCTTCTGCGTGGCATTGGAAAATATACTGAATGTTCGATCAAATATAGTTTGTAGATATGGCAATTTCCAGGAATTGTCTGGAATTTTAATGGCCAATGATTTCATAATCAGAGAAATTCCTCGAATTCACCCTATTAAATGCGCCAAAAAGTGCATGATCGATAAAACATGTATGAGTTTTGCTCACGGCGTTCGCAAATGTGTTTTATACAGTTCTGATCCGCGAATTCACTTCAACGAGAACGCGCTTATTCGAACTGACAGTCCTTCCTCTCTGAAACTTATGATAGTTTCTACCCAAAACGACGACGTACCTTGTGAGATCAACAACCTGAAAGCGTACACCAGCAACCATTTTGCAGTTTGTGGAATTGATCAAAAAAGAACGGACGCCATTTGCGAATGGTCTGATAGGGAAACCATTTACTTTTCACCGTGCGGAAACCTCGCAAAGATTTCAAAATTCAGGTACTACTTTACAAGTTTTGTATTGCGCGTGAAACTTCAGATAAATAACTAATCTCTGCGAGCGAGTCGCCACATTTTTTATCAGGGCAAAGTTTTTTAAATGTATACCCAATTTTGTTTTTTGATGCGTGACAGCGCATCGGGAGGGGTGTTGCATTCAGGGCTTCATAACTATTGGAAAAAATGTCCGCATCTATTTTGCATCCATTAACCTAAAAATGATTCGAGAAGGTATGAAGTGAGGCGAGCCTAAAAGTTTATAGTCGAAATCTTGAAAACTTGCTTAAAAGATTTGTTTTCTTCGGTAGTTTTTTCAAATTTTATCTCTGAACGGTAAAATCTTGTCGGAACGATCAAAGAGAAAGAAAGAACAAAAAAAAGAAAAAAGGAGGCGTCCTTGTTAAGGACCACATACAATTCATAAAATGCACAGTTTGGCCTCGTAATGGGTGGTGACGAAAGTTTTGTATACCGAGAAAAACAATGTAAAGAACATGGCGAGTTGTAGTGACCATTTTAATTCTCAAGTATTAGGGTTAAAACGAAACCATGGTAGTGACTCTCTCGTTGTTAGTCGTGGAGTTAACCGTGAGCTCCAAACATCCGTTAACTTTTCTCAGTTTTGTTTCATCAATTTTCGGCTCTATTGGTTTGGTGGCTTCCTAGGAGATAAGGGTCCGCCTGCTACTTAATGACATTTGGCGCATAACTGGGCAACAATGGAATGCTCATATACCAGAAGCGCTCCGGAAGCACTTAATTGAGCGGCATTCAAGCCTGTTTGCCTTAGGAAAATTAGTCATTTCCCGGTGCTACTTCAGTAATCCGTTTGATCAATGTGAGCTCCATTTTTTGGGGATAGCTTGCAAGATGTGTTCTGCGCGGCTGGTTTCCTTCGTGCCCGCATTATTGAGACTCAAAAAACTGAAATTGCGTTTAGTTTTGGTAAAGCAAGGGTAGCACCAATGAAAGCTTTGTCCATTCCGAAGCTGGAATTGCAGGCAGCCTTGCTGGCATCTAAGTTGAAGAAAGATATACTCCGGACATATATATGATTTGTTTAAAGATTGGCTATGAAGTTTTGACGCGCCAAATTGTGCTAACAAAACTATAAAATCTGTGCAAACTGTATTTTTTATAAATCAAACTGTCACAACAATCGCATAAACTTCAAGGCCGTCTTGTGAAACAGTTTAAATAGCTTTAAAAAAAAACAGAAAACGTTTTTGGGGGGTTCGAACCCAGTTACGTAGCGTAAATTTATGTCCCTTCAAGCGGGTATTTGAGTTTTAGAAAGGAAATGCCTTAGGCGGGATTCGAAGCTGCGCCAAACTCGCCGGGACGAACTGTGTATACGCTCGGCTACTGTCCCTGTCTTATATGCAACTATAGTTCAAACTTGTATTATATGCAACTATATTTCAAACTTTTTCTTAATTTACTTGTTGCTCAGTAAATTAAATATATCAATTTAAAATAAAATTAATTGCCTATCTATATATTTTAGTTTTTCGCTTATTCTGTCTGTGTTTTGATTTTTTTGAATCCTTTTTTCAGGCATAAATCATCAAGAAAAATTCAGAAAAGGGTCGAAACATTCATATAAGTTTTTTTGTCGCAATAATTCATTCTTGCAACCAACTCAAAATTTTCAACAAGTAAACTTCAACAAAATTTTGGGGTTGTCTAGAAAAACTGTTTGAAGTTGTAGATTTTTAGACAAACGTAACCTGAAGAAACTTTTTCATTATGAATTAGTTTGCTAACAAAACGGTAGAATTTAATATGAATTTTGTGCTGTTTCAAGATATTTTCCTTCCTGTCACGCAACATTCAGAAAAAAAAAGCGACATTAAAATGAATAAAATGGTAAACACTGATTTTTTGCGCAAGTAATGGCAATCTAATTTTTCTGTGCTGCTAGCACAACCATCACCTTTTCACTTCATCTTGGTTTATTGGTTCTGGGAAGCTTGTAAGAAATTTATGCAGCTGTAATTTTCCGAAGTAAAATTCTTAATTCAATAGTGCGTAGAACTCCACCTCTCTTTATATAATAATATCAATATATGATATTCATATAATAACTTAAAATAATCGTTTCAGTACATTTTTAATGATAAACCTTTTTGGCCAAAAAACCTTAAATGTTGGATATATACAATGACAAGCAATTTCTCAAAACCCTGCTGAAAGCCTTATGATTGGATTCCACAGTAGCAAAAAAATACTTCCATTGTACATCAAATCTCACATATCTTTGTTTTTCAATAAATCAGTCAGGGATCTAAATACGAACAACGATCTTTTCGCAGAGAATCTGTTTTTTTTTCATATGTTTTTTCAGTCGAGCAATAATTGTCATGACTGAAAATATTTATTGTTGAGTGTTTAAAAAAATTAGGCTCACACTTTTAAAAGGTTTTTCAATTGCGACCATTCAAACTTCCTTCGTGTCTTTCATATTGGACTCTAGAGTTTGAGCGGCGGAATAGGTTAAAAGTCAAACATTCCCATCTCCCTTCCACCCGTTCCTCCCGCTCCAAATTTGATCCCGCTTTTTTTAGATTCCGCTCCAGAAATTGCACGCAGCCAGTGTACGGTGGAGCACATTGCATTGGTTGCAAAAACGAAACATATGAGAAAGGTCCAGACTATCGAGAGGATTTTGCTTCGCTGTCTTCTGATGTTCATACTTACTGTCATAATCTAGGTAAATAAGGATCAAATAATGGCTTTTTCATAACAGAAGTACGGAAAGCACAAAAGTTTCTCGATCAATCATCGTCCAAACAAAGCTTGAAGGACGGCAAGTGGTTGAGAACTTCTGCTCATTCTCTCCTTCTGCCATATTTTTTTTTTATATTTGAGGGGGAGCGGAGACCAAGCGGAAAAAAAGTTTTTCGAGCAATTTTTTTTTGTTCGAAGCAGTGCATTCCTGAAACTTATTCTTAGCAAGTTCATCAAAGATGTCCGACGCTATCTTTTTCCGTTGGCGAAAAAAGGACATAGGCACCAAATCCAACCCCACCGGGTGGTCGAAATTGAAACTTGTTCCTGAAAAGTCAAGTGCGTTCCCCAGATGGACGTCATGGTTCTTGTTCCTAAGTTAAATTTAACTTGATGCGTGCAATACAGGCATGACTGCATTCACTGCTTTCCACTGGTTTTCTGAGGATCGGATGATCTATGTGGACGAACACATGTGGACTGGGATGAATCAGTGGGGAGATGCAGGTCAGAATGCAGTAGACGTGAACAGCACTCAGTTTGTGGCTCCTGGTTGCACAGCGTTGTGGGCGGCAGGTATTTTTCTGATTCTTTTCCATTCCCCCACCTTTTTCCTGTCTAGGTGGGGGCTGTTTTTGGCTGTTTAGTCCGACTAGTTTTAAAAGTTGGCCTGCGGACTAATTATTTCTTTACAAACATATTTCGTCTTGGGAGTTAATCTTCGAAAACCCCTCGTTACACCATGGTGGAAAGTAAACAACTGATGATTATGTGAGGGTTTTGTTCCGACTTTCACAGAACGAACAAAAATAGCTGAGAAATTACCGCAGAATGCTGCGACTAAACTGATATCCGAAATAAAAAAAAGTTTTGAAAAAAAAATCGCGAAAAATTTTTTTGTTGCAATTTTTGCTATCCAATTAAAATATTTTTTGCTTAAAAAGAAAAAACAGTCAAAGTAAATAACAAAATAGGAACGAAAGCGTTAACTACAATAATAGCAACTTTCAAATTGGGGTAGAAATAGACTTCTCATCATATTTTGTAACATTTAGTGTGAAAAACGACTCGTGGAAAATTTTTTCTTGAGGTTGTCAAGATTGATTTGAGAGGAACTTTAAGCAAGCGGACTCTATGACTCTATGCATTAGTTTTTTCTCCAACTTCTAGATCGATCGGAACAAACAAAAAAAAATCATATTTTTTGAACATTAGCATGTCCCGAATTCTTAGCAAACAAGACTACGAGGCCCTGAATGTTCCGACTGCCTTGTATGGTTTATGGAGCAGTAAAAACATAAAAAATTGAACGTAAAAAAAATAAAAGTAGTTTTTTAATTTGAGATTTTTGCGGAACTCATCCGCCACACAAAATATAAAGTACAAAATGAGAGATTTTGCTCCTAGTAACAAGTCATTTATGGCAAATAATTTTCCTTAAACAGGCCAAAATGGCAATCTTTAAACCACCATAACTTTAAACGACCATCACAGGTAAGAGATCTTTTTCAACTTAATAATTAAATTAATTACACTCGAAACACACGTCTGAACAATTGTCAACAAAACTGCTCGGACTAGAGCGAACTCCTGAATGCTCCGACTGCCTTTTAAGGTCTATGGAGCAGTGTTTTTATGAAAACTGAATTTTAATACAATGAATTGTAATTGTGTTTTAAGTTTGAGATGCTTTGTGAAAATAACCAGGCCCCCACCCCACGCCATATAAAACAAAAATTGATAGTTTTTGGTCCTAATTTTAAATTAAATACTGTACACTGCTTCTGGTCGTTTATAACTGCTGTCCGGCAAATATTTTTAATGAATCGGAATCAATAATCTTAATTGGCACAAATTTAAAATTGTATAATGAAAGAATTTTTTCACTATTTATTATTTAGATAAAATACCAACAATAATACATTCTGTCACAAAGCACCAAAATTTTAGCATGTGAGTGCGGTCATAATTAAGTAGTAGGACACGGTATTGACAGACAAAAACCTGTCAATCAAGGTCGACCAAGGCTGTTTTGTGAACTTGTTTAAATATTTATCAAAAACACAAAATGTTTTTGGGGAGTTGAAAACCGGTTAGTTTATGTTCATTCAAAATCGGCGCATAATTGGTGTTTAGAAGGAAAATGGCCCAGGCGGGAGTCTCTCAATTTAAGGAGGTTCACCAGATCCTTGCTTAATCAGATTGTGTCATTGCTGCTTTCGAATGAATCCAAGCAATCAATCTTGTAGAACCTAATAGGTACTAATTTATATACTTCAGGAAAACGTTTAACGATATCCCTTGCGGATTGCTGAAGTGCGAAAGTCGCGCACGTCGGGGAGTCCCGGGCACCGAAAATATGCGGGGGGTGCTGAATAGATGCTACATCCGATGCGGCATCCTCGTGCCACAAAAAACGCAAAGAAGGTTGTTAACAAGGGGATACCCCAACCTGAACATGAACATCCCTCGATGTCTGCGGAGATGTTGGTGGAAGCGCACTAAGACATGTAAAAACATTTTGCAGTAAATCAAGTTTTTTTTTAAGATTGGCCGTGATTATTTAATGCGGCTTTTAAAACCAGACGAGCCTTATCAGGTTTGTTTGAGTTGAGGGCAGGATAGTGGGGTAAATATCATCACCGGCGGAGCGAAGCTGCGGATCGTGCGGTTTAACCGGAATGATATTTCTTTATCGAGGTCCTTTTTTATTGCATTTACTCTTTAAACCACTCTATTGAGTGTATTTATTCTATCGAGTGTGTTCCTCTTTAAACCACTATCTTTGTCGAGTCATTTTTCAACTTTCTTGAACTGTGACAGCGCTGAGTAGTAATTGTTGGGTACAGAACTGCTTTCATTGGCCCAAAATTTTCCTAATCAGTACCGTTCACCATCATGGTATGTTGTTGATTCAAGAAGGTTATGCGCTTGCTGATTGGCTGCGTCAGCTTATTTGTATGAACCCTGGCTTTCTAACTCATACCACGCTTTAACTTGGCTAACAAGTTTCACGTCTTCGGCATTACACTTGAAATATGTTGACATCAACCCGGAAGATGATGGGAGTAGGCCACTAAAAACCCAACCTACCAGCAGACAAACAAAAATAGTATTTTTCTTATCTGCATCATAAATATAATAGAGCAGTCGTTTGTGGTCATAAAATTTCTGACTAATTATCATTTCAAGTTCCTAATACTGAACTGGTTTTATTGGTTCCAGGTAGGAACGCTTTTCTTGAAGGTCCGGAGCATCAACCTTTCTAGACCCAACATTCATTTCATACTTGAAGTAAGCGGTTACCTTGAAGGTATAATCGACGATAATTTTTATGTCAGCGGATAGTGTGACCTTGACTAACCAAGTCGAAATAATAACCGTTAAATCAAATTTATTTAGGATCAAATCAAATTTTTTGCTGACAAGTTCAAATGGCGGTCTAAGCTTGAGGAAAGCCAGGAGTGATTGCTAACGGAATCATACAAAACGAGAGCGGTTTTGGTTTTTGACTTGGATGAAACACTAAACTCAATAACCTGTAAAAACTTTTGAGGTCTTGCATGGATGCGGAACAAGACGACGTTGCTTTATCCCCCGGATTTGTCTTCTAGAAAAAACATTTTGTTCCTTTCGAGGAGTAAAATTGCTGTCTGCATCATGCAAGAGGACATTGTGCGTAATTTTGCACTCATTTTTAGTGCATTTCCAACCCTTTGGGCAGTAACGGAACGTGTGAATCGCTTGGAGACAGGAGAAACAAATTTTCTTTCAGCGGAAAACTTTAAATAAGGTTCTTTTTCTTGATGACTTTGCATCCTAATAACGGATTTTCACCAGCGCACTGCGGGCAGAGAGAACAATTGAATCTTTTCGGCTTAACACTGGAAGCAAAAACTTGGGTGGTAGGTTTTGTCTTGGCAGGTTCCTCAGTTTTTGATTTATCAGGAAAAATTTTCATATGCCCATGCGTTTTGGCCTTTTTTATAACCACTTGTTGAAGTCAAGGATATTAGGGCAATACGAATTGCGTTTGACAGTGTAAGACGACCAAGACTCTTTCATTTTCGGAGGAAAATTACAGAAAACTTGATTTAAGTTGGCGGTTCCTTTCAGGTCGTCCTCATATGACAACGATCGAAACACACCAAGGAGACTTGAAATAACACAAGAAAACTAATAATGTTTTCAAAATTGTGCATTTTCACTAGTGCAAGGCTGTTAAGTTTTTCGAGGTGGGCGCTCACGACAGTTTAAGAATGCCAAAATTTTTGTTCAAGGACTCTTCGTGCTTCCCTGTTTATTTGACCTGAAAAAGCGAAGTACGCTATTGCCAATTTAGCTTTCCCAGTTACTAGTGTTTTAAGGTACGTCAGCTTGATGTCATCCGAATGAGTTGATTGCCAATTAACCGCGTTCCGAAACTGACCTATTGGTTCATGCCATTCTAACGGATTACCATCCATTCGGTTAATGAATCCTTCCTGTTCGAGGCCAAGACTTCTGCTAAGTCTTCGAACGGATATCAATTGCGATGGCGTATTGACATAATTCGGCACAGGTTGGTATAAGCACGAAGCGACTGGATTCGAAAAATACGGCTGATGAGCGAACGAGCAAGGAATATCTGACACAATCGATGATTACAAGGGTACTTGCTTGTGTGGCAGAGAAAAATAGAAAAATGCTCAACCGCTTTTGTTGGAGAACTTTACGTTTTTAGAGGAGCAACAGGTATTACTGCCTCAAATACGTGCGATGACTCATTCAAAGCTAATGGGTTAAAAACTGCGGTGGTCAGTGCTGCAGTTGCAGGGAACCACGATGCGAGGTTCGGCTTATAGAACTGAATAGAGTTAGTGGGATGACCTACAGGGTGTACCGCCGAAACAACCGCAGTTTGAGGAGGTAAATGCATATACGAAGGTGATGGAACAGATTCAAAATTATTAGACGTGGCAGGCTTAGCATTCGCCCACTGATTTGCATCTGAAAACCGTCGTTTTTGTGTTACATTTTGATTTAAATTTTCTCCATGTTAGCCAATATTTTTGCTTTTGTACTGGCAGCATTCTGCGTAAGAAGTTTTGGAAGAATTGGCAGGCCTCCTGCTCAATGTAACAATGTTGATATTTTTGCTGAATTTTTGTACTGGCAGCATTCTGCGTACGAAGTTTAGGAAAAATTGGCAGGCCTCCAGCTCAATGTAACAATGTTGAAACAAACCACCTGATTGAGCGTTACACATTGGAACGACATCCACTGGGCGCACTATGTTCAACCATATTCATTCTATAAATGTATGAGGTCGGGTCGATACTGATTGAGCGTTACACAAAGAAACGACATCCACTGGGGCGTTATATTCAACCTTATTCAATCCAGAAGTGTATGCGGTCGGTTCGGTATAAGAATAGTGTATAGATTTCCCGATGTATAAGGATTACAAATTCAATTTTTTAAGAAAGGGATATGTTTCCCAATGTATTAAGATAGGGAATGGTAAGGTTTCAGTATGATGGTTAGAGAATGGTAAGAAAAAATCTCGGCGCTCGTTATGTAATAGGTGAGTATTA